ATCTTACAAACAAACTTGATTTAACTAAAAATATCGTCAGACATCACATAAACTAAATAGAAAATCTTTATATAGAGGAAATGATAAAACCATATATTCTGTATCTAACAGCAGCTATGGATCTTTTCGTTTTGAAACTTTTTTGGAGTGTTATATAGTCAGTACATAAATGAACTTGTAGTAGTGTGTCTAATTTGTTACCTTACCGTCACATAGACTACTCACAAATGATTGACGATGCCGCACCTCCCAGAAGATTTTTTTTTCAGTTTTCATCAAATAATCGAGAGGCAAATCGCATAACTTCTAATTCTCAAACACCGAATGATATCCTCAATGCCTCGGACAATGATACAGTTCCATTAATAGAAGTCTGTGACATAGACGAAATATCCTATAAAATGACAGTATCATCACCATCCATATGTCTTTGAAAATCAAAATGGGTTCTTTTCGTGATTGTAACAACCTCAGACGCATGAACGATATGTGGAATATCAATTGGAGTGACATTTATCAGCGTGATGGTGTTAACGAAATAGCTACGTTTGTGAACAATAATATCATCCAACTCTTCAACACACACCGTCCTTACGGTATTGGCTTACACTATTTAAGAAATGATTGCTCTTACCTTCAGGAAATTCAAGTAAACACATTCTGCTGCTAAAGCTTGGAACACATTGAAATCACTAGAAATATTGAGAAAAAGTAACAACACAAACATCTAAAGCAATTTGAATGACACAAACCTTATTTACATCAATTACAGTTTTATTTCCCAACATGGAGTGATAACATTCAAACTTCATTACTAGAACGATACCGTTACACTTCAAAAATTGATAACTTTTTTCGCGGTACGCTCTCGTCTGCAGCAATACAGAATTGCCTTATTGCTAATATCTCACTCCTAATGATATGCGTCTTAGATAGGCATTTACTAGATCAGTTAATCTTTCTTGGTAATGTCATTTGAACTAAGAGTGTATTTCCAAATTGTTGGTAGAATGGTGTGATTATTATTTCAACTTAAGTGCAACTCCCCTTTGGATCTCTCTGGCTGTTACCATCCTACCGTTGTCTCTCGAAAGTTGTTGAGATTATCATTTGGGACAAAATTTATACCGTCATAAATGAATACCAAATCTTCGATGCTGATGTCTGTATATCCGTACATACCGGTTTCAAACATAAACGCTGGAGAACTTCAACTTTACTTTCCATCACCGAAACAGAATAAACTTTAGTCCTTTTGCACTAAAGTAAAGCCTTCTTCCTCATTCCGTTGAATGCTTTGTCTCTGGTTAAAAATTACCTATCAAAACGAAAGGTGTTTCTCAAGGATCCATCATTGTTCTTTTACCATTCAGTTTGTATATTTGTGGCTTCCATCAGTCGGTAGAAAAATGCACTACGCAGAAAGGAAACAAAATGAGACGATAACTGTAAATGAAACTACTGAGATTCTTAAAGATTTATTGGATATAGATGTTGTTGAGTCTGAGATCAATAACGTATACACTTTAGAAAGATCAGAAAAAAATTCCTATTAAAATTGAATTCAACTCTTTCATAAAAAAATCTTCGGTTATCAAAAATTGCGGTAAATTGAGAGGCACTCGAATACATATTGTGAATGACTTGACACCTAAACTGAGAGAGGAGGGAAAATCCTACGAAAGCACCTTTATCTTGCAAAACAAAACAGTGAAAATAATTGTTACATCAGAAACGATAAACTGATTATTGATAATAAAGTGTATACGGTAGCTGAACTTGAAACATTCGCAGATACCGAATCATTTCAAAGAAAACCCTCTAGCGATCCAGGAACGCTCGTTGCCAGTAACTCTAGACAACCATTTCAAGAAAGCGTACCTTTGGAAATACAGCCGTCTCGAAACATAACGGAAACTCTAAACGGAAAAACTAACAGACTCCCGGAATATTTCAACTTCAAAACAAGTTTCATGAAACCATGTCGGTGGTGTCCAGATCATCCAATTCAGGCCAAAAGAAGTGGGTGATCATCGACCTATAGTGCTCGCCGTTGACAGTGATGGCCTGGCCAACGTCGTTCTCAAAGAAATATGGACCGATGACGCCGCCATCCCAAAATCCACATCCAACAACTTGTGGATTGGGATCGTCCCAAATTTGACAATTTTGTTTATTCACGTACCGATTCATCAAAAAATGGCCCTCTCGCTGAAGATGATTTTTCGATGAAAATTAGGGTCAATTGCCAACTGCTCCAGAGCCTATTCAGCGAACACACGTCGTTGTCTATGGTCTTTTACCTTCAATTCCTGGGTCAGTTGAATTTTGTACTGGTGCAGGCCCAAGTCACCACGTAAAATTCGCCAAGAGTGGTCTGCTATAGGGAGAGTTTTTGTGAACGACTCGAAATTGACTGCCATAGATAGCGGCGATGTTTTCGGCAGATCTTGCGTTTCGTCGACGTACGGGTATTGGTCAATCGTTTACTGAACCAGTGGACTCAATATTTATCCACCACATTGCGAATAGTCCTCTTGGTAGGACGATTATGGCGACCGTAAAATGGACGAAGCGCGCGGATTACGCCCCAACAGAACACTCATTTTGATAAACCAATTTTATTATTTGCACTTGTCGTTGAATGCTAAATCTGTCCGAAGTGATTTGGCAAAACACACTGAAAAAATGACAACTAATTTGTCAGATGTAGCTTGAAAAAGATGGCCGTTATCAATTGTCAAAATTCGGAAGTCCCTGTTGGAAGACCCTATACAAAAATAAAAGCAATTGTTCATTAGAAGGTTAGGTCTTTTCGGATCAGTAGCCACATCGTTTTGTTTTTATTACTTTATGTCAGTTTGTGAACTTATATCGAATGCACAAATATACGATATATGCACATGCACATTCTTTCGTCAACCCAACTGTTTAAATATGTTTAAAATATATTTTTTTCCGTTAACCAGCTATCACACCCCTACGAACGACAACCCTCAGAAGTCGAAACTTGTACGAGCTAAGGGCTAACGAGGTCTTAACTTTTAACGTGTGATTTCTAACGGGTTGGACGATAGCAAGTGAAAAACGAGCGTTCAGCCTGGGGATTGAACCATCGACTCACATCGGCCGATTGACTGTACTTTATGATATTATTAAGTAGTGAATTTAATTTTGAGTATTTATTTTTGGGTGATACCAAAATTAATGTATTCAAAAATATAGTCAAAAACTGTTTGTGTCCAAGACAATATCAAGCTATTTATCATAAAGATTCAATGGATTGTATTGAAGTGTTTTGGAAATTGACAAAGTATTTGGCTTTCAAAAATTATATATTTACTTAGGATGTAATGATTATGTTGAATAACTTGAATATATCTCGTTTTTATGAATATAAATGTTTACGAAGCAGGAACACTCCCACATTTTATTTATTTTGCTTCTCTTTTGTAGTCATGTTTATAATATATGTAGAAAGAAATATTTCTAAAAGGCAAATAAAATATTCAGATTGAGGCGTTGCTGTTTAGTAACAATAATGGAATACAAAGCATAACACGAAAAATGCTGTAATTTCAAGAAAAATAAGTTACCGTTTTCACTAATAATATTCCTCATCAATATCACTGACTCAGCACAATTTCGAAACTTTTCTCTATTGAAAGCAATATTGTGACCACTGGCTGTTACAAAAACCTCATGAAGAATTCAATCATGTTCATATTTTGTTTCTTCAGATATTATTAAGTCATATCAAATATTCATTACTCCCTGAATTCCCCCAAATATTTTTTGAANTTATAAGGCTTCACAGGAAAAACTTTATACAAGAATAGAGAACAAACCAAATTAGATTTAACTTCATTGATTATTTAACAAAGTGTCTTGTAGAGATATTATTTGAACACCTTCTAATTCTGACTTTAATATGGATAATTAACTTCTATGAATATAAAAAAACTAGGAAGCATGTATTATGGGCATGTTTTAAGTAGCAATTAATCTTTAAGAGAGTACAGTATGGCCATTCATAAGTACTGGTTTCAACTGCACACAAAATACGTACTACACAGTTCTGGTGTTTGGGAACAGTCTTTGTCTTGGATTTATTCTACACCACAGATTTCCATTCTATCTTTAATTTTACTTGCCCTCAAGGGTATTTCTTTGAATCAGCCACAGGGTGAATAAAATTTTTATTAAATCTATGACCTTTTGCAGTTGAAATTTGACCAATTCACTGGAGCTCATTTACAATCATTCAACACATTTACAAGTTTTTATTTCACATATTTATATACTCTCTGAAGTTAATTGAAGCTGAAAAATTAGTTTCATTTTTGAAGGAATAAAATTTCCTTCCCAAATCAATATAATCTATAACAAGTTAAATTCAATTATCGTACAAGCACCTTAAGAATTTTCCTGCAATGTTTGTGCATCTTCTTAAAATTTATATACTACCATATGATGAAATTATTTCATTAGAATTCATTACTGTTACAGAGCCTCACAATATAATTCAAAGATAATCATGCAATGTATCCAAGATAAGGAGATCCACCATAGGAAAATCAAATCCAGTAAGAGATACAAAGTTTGTCAAAGTAGAAAACGTTGCTTATTCTGAAGCTTATTAAAGTAAATGATGTTTAAAAATTTACTAATTAATTGATTGTGGTGATACATCAGTTAAGTTATCACCAACGAAATGTTGGTATAAAAATCTATGAAGGCTATCTTGTACAGCTTGAAAAGTGACAATTAGAAAGTGTTATCATTCAAATATGATGATCTGTGATGATACTGAACTGGAGAAAAAGATATATTGACATTATTTTTTCAGAACAATAACAATTGAAGTTACATAATTAGTGAATAAAAATCATATATCAACTATTTTAAATTTTTTCTAAAGATGCCATGACTCAATAGAAATATTAATAATTGAACACAAAGTGTATTATTTCAATAAGTTCTCATGGTTCCTGATTTTTCTGTGCTGGCCCCCGTTATCCTAGATACAGAGTATATATATTTCTAAAATACTTAGAAATTGTTGACTTACTCAAAGGTCCTTCTGTAAAATAGAGCAAGTATAAAGAAGCATAAAAGGCCTCATTTCCACAACACATTATAAACAGAACCATTTTATTGGAATAATAAATACTCATAATTGGATTATCAGACATGTCAACAAACTTGTGGTTTGTTTTTCCTTGAAGTATAGACCTGAAAGTACATAAAAATAGAAAAAGAAATTGTAACTAGAAAATTACATACGTGTGAAGAAAAATCCAGTGACAGGCAACATCAATACACATGGACAAGATGAATAAGAAGATATACTTTGGATAAAAATGCCCCAAAACTGCCACCAAGCCCATTGTACCACATCTATCAGTAAGTTGATCCAACATACCACCAAACCTACTACTTTGATTGAAATATCTAAAATGAATGAATGTAAAATATGCTATTCAAATTCAGTTATGTAGCTTGTTTGTACCTGGCAGCATGCCCATCAACTGCATCAAGAAGAGCAGAAGTCACATAACATGTACAGGCGACAATGTAATTCGAGGGCATAAAGTAAAATGATATGATGGCTAATATTATTCTGGCATATCCTACGGATACAAAGGGGTTGTACAACAATCTTTATGTATAAAATGTTACTACAAACCTATGATATTTGGCACAAATAGGAATATATTTTCGTCGCTCATCTCGAAATGTGGTAGAACAATCGTTTGAATTACTGATTCAATATAATTAGTGAATTATTGAAAAATGTTTTAGGGTTCACTTCAATACAAATTCAATACCTCAAAACAACTTTATTGTATAGATTTTTTATTACTCTGACCGGTGACCCGTCTGATAACTTTTGAATAGAGCCAGTCCAATGACTGGTGCTCAGAGGTCTGATATCTCATGCGTCATTCATTCATAAGTCAAAGCTGTCAAAGCACCAGTAGCGTTGCCAGAAATGTTTTGAGCTTTGAAAGGGGAGAAATTACAGTACGAACCAATGAAAATGACCGTACTATTACCTTAAAAAACTGATATGTTGATAACGCTACTGGTAGACCTTTCGTCTACAGCTTAACGCGAGTTTGATAGACAAAACTATATGAAAATAATAATTATTAATCCACTAATTTCATATAGTTCGAGTCCATTATCCTTAAAAAAGATGTATGTACCTAAATATGTTAGTTACTTATGGCCTGGTTCGCACATATCCGATGTCCGAGTTTTTCTGATCGATGCAAATACAAATTTCTAACCTAGAAACTTGTATATTAGCACGAATCAGAAAACTTTCGGAATATTGGATCTATAACTGTAAGAATTCGGTGTCATACATATTTTTGTGAACTCTCTTCAAGACACAAAAATATACTGATGATGAATTTTCAAAAAAATGTCGTAACTATATAGGTTGAATAATTCGCCACGGAAACAAAAAAATTGAATGAATTGGAAAATTTTTCTATATTGAATGAAACAATTTATAATGCAATAATCATTTTTATTGAATACTGGACCACCCGGATGCAAACAGGTAACTAAAGTTGCGTCGTAGTGACTTCAGTAAAATCTCTAACATGAGATGACTTGATGACTTCTGTTGATGACTCCGTGCAATTGTGTTGTTTCAGTAAACAAGTGTTGCCTAACCTTGCACTTGGCTATATCACAGTAAACTTATATAGTATATAGTATACTGTGGCTATACCGTATTGATGACAGCTGAGCTGTGTGCGGTTGATGTATTTATTATTTATGACATGTTATTATTAATATTATACGAGGAACTCAGAACTATTACCACGATAAGCGAACAATTAAATCCACTCCTGATTCAAATAATAAATCTAGAAAACCATTCGAAATCACTTTTCTACTGCATATGTGAGTGTCCTTACAAATTTTCACGCAAATCAACTCAACTCATTTTTATTTTATGGTAACATTCTGAAAACGCAAAAAGGCATGAAAACAATTAACAATGAAGCATTCAGTCGAATGGCAGGCGAGTTTGACTAGTTCTTAAGTTCATCGATGAGTCCACCGATATATGCTTATATTGATCGATTCTTGCCTATTACGGACGCTGGGGAAAGGAATAAGAAATTGAACTGAACATATTATCATCCACGAGTTATTTTTTTGTACAACTTCTAAATTTGTTTGTTTTGATTTGTCGGTTGTTAAATGGAAACAGTTCAAGTAGTTCAATTTATTTCTCTTCTAGGAGAAAGATGAGAGAACAAAACTTCATAACTCATATTTTAATATTATTTTTTCAAATATTTTGAATTATGGGGGCAAGTCCCTCTTGCTAGTATTTGCTCATTAAAATAAAGTTCAACTGGAATATATTTTCCATTGAAAGGAGCGTCAGACTGATTTCCAGTTAAGCTAAGTGATGGCGCTAGTTGAAGTGATTTGAAATATGAACGCATAAGCATGGAACACAAGAGACACTAACATTTCTTTGAGGGTATATAGGAGCACAGATAGGAGATATATATGTTTATGACTTTATGTGTCTTATGTCCGAAAAGTGTAATGGTGGATTGAAAAAAATGTGTTTTTTTCGACAGAAACTACGCTATTCCAAAGAGAACATTTGCACAATGAAAATCATTTAAACATTCTTATAAGTGTGAATTACTTGAAACAACTATGGACGAATGTGTTTGCTAAAATAGTTTATTGTGACCATAAAGACATTTTTTTAAATTTTGCACTGAAAATGGCCCCATCTCCTGAAGATGACAATACTCCTAAAGCTCCCGACAAAACTGAAAAGAATAAGTGTGAAAAGCCATCTTCGGATATCAACAATGAAAAGGACAAAAATGAGAAGGTTAGTGTTTGCTTTTTTTCTTGCAATCATGTATACAGTACGATGCATTTTGGTTGTCAAGGAGAGGAATGCTTGCTCTTGCAGTGACAATGACGTTCCTATAAACCTAATATTTTGATGAAAACTCTATTTTAAGAATAGATTTTGTTCATTGTGTTCCCTATAAAAATAAATTTGTTAATTTTCACAAATGTTTCTAAATAGTGAGGGAGTACAATTTTTTCCTTTCCATAGTCAAATCTTAGCTCAAATCACTCGTGACAATGTCACGTTCATTAGGGCGTAATTTTTCACACATTTCAGTGTGACCTATTTTTGTTTGTTTTAAGTTGTCTGTCATTTATTAGAAATAATTCCCATAGGAGGAACCATGTATAAAATATTAAATTAAATAAACTATCATATATTTAATTTAATTTTCTTAAATACTCACCTACACAAATTGGACAAAGGATAATTTTTCTAATATATAAACATGTTTTCTGGATTCTAGCTAATTTTTTCAGTATAATCATGATCAACAATGAAAGTAAATTCATAATAAATGAAATATACTAACTTGAATTCTGGGATCCAAAAACACAAATATTGAATCACCTAAAAATCACTTCTTTTCACATTAAAAATTCCTCAAAAAATTATAATTTCATGAGTATCCTTTTACAGTAATGATTGACAGAAATCTTTTTGATTATATTTGTAAATGGGTTGCAAATTGGAAATGAAATTTTTTTGTAATATTCACGAAGGAGTAGTAATTTCAAAGCATCTCTTTCCCCCCGTTTGTATCCGAAACAATTTTTGGAAACAACTGTCTGTGAAGATCTACACATTTTTCCGAAGTTCTTTCATTACTATATAATTTTTTGAATTGTTTAAATCTATTGAAATTTTTCTTATATACTTACCTAAATATTGGTAGGAAAACAGATGCCTAAAAATTTCCGAAACATCAAACTCAATCAAAAGCAGATAATTAAAACTAAAAAGGTTTTGATAAAAAACTGAGTTTAATGATGCAAAGTTAAAAATTTAATTTATTTTCATCAGATTATCTGATATTTTGACATTGGATTAGTCAACTGAAGTAATAGTGGGGTTTCGGTAATAAATGAACTCGATAAAAGTGAAGTAACTATTTTCCTTTACTCACTAAGAGCCCTCAATTAGTCAACGGACATAATGTTAACTATATGTGGCGTTATGATATAGCCATCAATACAGTATATATAATTCAGTGTTCATACGAAAGTGTTTGTTCGAAAAAAAAAACATTCGTGTAATTCAATCTTTATATGAAAGTAGCTGTTTCAGGAGGGCTTTTTCTTCCAGTTTGTGTCTGAAAGTTACTTCTTTGCATGATCTACACATCTGTGTATATAGTTACTTCTTTTAGAATTGATTGCCTCCTTCCTTTCTTTGAAAGATTCCCACTTTTTTTTGTATCAAGATGGAGTTGTAGAAAACCAAAAAGTTCCTTTCCCAATTTACTACATATTGATCTTTTATATTTCTACAGATAATACTCTTTCAAGAATGATAGCTTACTATAATACCCATTCAATATAAATAGTATGTGTAGCTGAGAGTGTTCGCATATTTTAGACTAACCTGTCACTTTCATTTTTTTAACACCAACATCCAAAAATATTGAGGTATTTTTGGATTTCTGGCATAATTCTGGATTTGAAGTCACATACAATTCTGATTTAAAGTTACTTTCAAATTATTGGTAAGCCAGTAACTCGATCAAATAAATGCAACTTCTTAACCAAGCCAATTGGTTTATTTTGTTAGTGATCTTTCATTTAAGATGACGAGAGTGGAACTCTGCCAAATACTGAAAACCTGATTTGGTTCTCAGCAGGGAGGCAGAAAGTATGGTTTCTGTTGTTTCATCTTCCAAATTAACAAGCAAAATGTTTTTGTGAAAATTGTACCTACTGTAGGGATGATTGAAGAATGCACATGTGTCATCAAGACAAACTTTTATATCGCATCCTTCTCTTCTACAACTGAAAAAGGAAGCTAAGATAAAACAGTTATTATTCACTTTCATTAAAGGAGAGCTCTTATTTGAATGATATCTTGCA